TTTTCCAGCTCCAGCTCCGAGCAGGAGCTGGAAAAGCGCCGGTGTGAAAGGGGCATCATGCCCCTTTCACACTTTACACCTTTACACACTGATAGAGGAAAGAAGAGATTGGCTAGTGGAGACTAAAATAGGACAAGTGCTTAAGGGGGAAATACCAGAGCTAAACAGTAACAGTTTTCGGGCTGGCATTAGAAACCATTTCAGGAAATTAGCAACCAACTCTTAGCTCAAACATAACTTACATTTCTATTGCTTATTTCAGTTGAATTTTCTGGCTTCAGTAAATGACAATCAATGCTATTAACTAAACCCAGACTCAAGGGGCCTGATCCACAACTATGGTGTACATAATATCATTTTAAGAGACAGGCCCCCCTTAAATCTAGAAGATGGACTTGTAGAAAGCAGTAGTTACATACGAGTTAAGAAATGGAGGTCATACTTTCCAGTAAACTACTTTGCTTTACCATTTGTTTGGAATGATAACATCCAGTGTCATAGAGCACGTGGTTAAAAAGCCACAAGTGAATCAGTACTTTATCAAACTCCCACTGCAGCAGTTACAGCGTCAGCATTCTAGAGTTGCAGACTGGTGGATGGATACAATACTTCGAGAACAGAGATTAGCATTTAATGGATGTAGCATTAATGAGGGCACCGCTTGGCTCCAAGTAAGCTTGTTAATGACTTTCTCTGCACAGAGTATTTATACACAGGACGGTAGCTAAAATCACAGAATAAAGATGCAACATATAACATGGGGGTCATTGAAATATCCCCCAAACAGTTGAAACCACCTGCCGCACGCCAGTTGCTGGCAGATTAACCGACCAACATTAGCTTGTTAGCTAACTCTGTTTAGCATGAGTGACCTGTCCTGCCTTGGACGACAGACCATGGTAGGAAAGGGAAGTACTTGGTACACTTGGACAATGTGTATCACCACACTGAGTGCATTCATCAATTAACACTTTTAGACTGGCATGCTATAGATATCTTTCTTAAGAACACAAGTTGTACTTGAGTATTTGTTCACCTAGCTTAGCATTTAACGGTGCTAGTGTTTTTTAAATTACCGTTATCTGGGCGTTTATTCTTAGCTGACTTTGACGTCTCTGCTCCTCCGCTATGGCAAGCTCTATTTTGTCAAGCTGGTCCCGGACAATCTCCCGTTGGTGGAAGTGGAACGCTGGATGGAGAGAGGCCATGGCAAAAAGCAGCGCCAACTGCTCCAGAGGTCCTGCCGCTGGTTCATTAGTTGAGAAGCCGCAGGTCTCCTCTGACCGCCCGTACACATTCCCGTCCTGACACGGTGGATGGAACGAGTGGTGGTTAGGGTCGGAGAATGGAGGGAGGGAGTAGTCATAATTTTTGTAGAACAGGGCCGGATCGACATGGCTCAGTATCCGAAAGAGTATTCCAGCGCATTCCCTGCTGTCAGACCCGAGGAGGGAGAGGCAGACTAGGAGTTTGGACCTAACGACTGGATCTATAACGTCTGTTAAAACTCCTAAGTCGCTTGGACTATTAGCACGAAACTCAAAGTCTCTTAAAACATGATAGTCTTTCTTTGCAAGATCCTCTAAGTAAGATCCCAAAAAGCGGAGCTCCAGGGGTTGGCACATATGTAGCAGTCCGCACATGAACTCGATCCGCTTAGCAGGGTTAAGATGTAGGCCAAACCACTCAAAAACAGTCTCCTTGTCCAGCTGGAATGGATACACGCTAGGTCTAGGCGAATCATCCAGACGGCCGGACACCGAAGAAGGAGGTACCGCCCTGGGAATATGTTGGTGCTCCGATAGATCCAATGAATCGTCCTCGGCAGTTTCGTCGCCTCCTTCCTCGCCCGTTTTCATCGGTAGCTTCATTTTCAGCATTATCAGCGCCGCGAGAGAGGCTTCAAACTGTAAATAACGGACCAATATACATAACGGACGACTTACGACGTTTTGTAATGCAGAAAATAGAGGTGGACTGTCAGTCTTTTAACAGTGTTTTTACTATTAGCTAATCATCTGACGCGGCGATAGTACTGTAGCTTTTTCCAACGTTACATTCTTCTTCTAATGCTCATTTCCGGTAGTACTGCTATGTACCGTTAGCACGTTGCTGCCACCTCAAGGCTGTTAGCGGACTTGTTCTAACTGAACGCTGTATGAATACAATTCTGAATGTTGTGAACATTTTTAGTGAATGCAGATCGGCAAAAAATAAACAAATATATGTCTTCATCCAGATGTACGAGAAAGTAATGCAGGACTTGTCATTTGATATTGACTTGAGTGTAGGGAAATTCAAGCAGCACATACATATTTTTGCTTCTTGTATTTTTAAAGTTAATAGTGAAAAGAGTAAAAAAAGACTGGGCGAACATATTGATTTACCGAGCCAACACCGCCCTCTAGAGGAAAAATGGAACCCTTACAAATAAAAGGACAGCAGAATGGGTAAATGTGGCTGCTTGATACTGTACAGCTTCATGTCCTCTGGGTATCTACCCAGAGGACATGAAGCTGTACAGTATCAAGCAGCCACATTATAGGTGAGTGAAAATGGCTACTGGAGTGCTTGTAGTCTGGATCTGATTGGGCAAAGAACACCATTTCCTGAAGCTCGACAAAAAAATACTGAGTCAGATATAAAGAGATAGGAAAAGGCACATAGTCCAGATAAAAACACACTTGAACTGACCCCGTGGAAAGTAAATAAGCTGTTATAAACCAGTATAAGCTGGAAAAAACAAGTTGTCTTTTGCTGATTGATTCTGTCTAACACTGTAACTCCTTTTAGTAATTGCTAAAAGAGGCAGCCTTTTCTGCACTCCTCATAAACAAAGTAATACATGTTTAATCTATTCTTGTCAACTAATATTTGCACCAATCCAGAGCTTTCTTTTATTCATTTCAGCTGAATTCCTGCATGAAAAACATTCCTCCTCGCTTATTACAGCTTTCTCTGCGTGTTGTCCAGCCTGATGTGGTCGGATGGTTAGGAAGGGAAGGCACATATTTAGAAAAACAAAATTCTTTGCTAGGTTTTTGCCTTCTTTCTTTTATTTATTTATTTACAGAGCTCAGGGCAGTCCCTGGCAAGAGTAAAACTTTAAACTACCACTGAGGCAAAAGGAAGCCCTGATCATAAGGCTCTCTGAGAAAAACTTAACTGTGCTGCTCCAACAGGGGGCAACAGCAGTTCAGAGTTCCTTTTATGAACACATTAGTTTGTCAGTGAGTACAGGCAACTGGATTGTAGTGAAAACTGTACTTATTTGAGGTACTTTAACTTAACATGATGATTTCGATGTTATGCTACTCAATACTTGTATACACTATACTACATACAGTACTTTTCACAGTTGTTATGATGCATTGTTATAAAGTATTCAACAGTATGGACAATAGTTTCAAACTAGCTCAACTTCAACCAACTAAAATAGTTAAATATTAATACAGACACATTAATGCATCACTAATTATCTTATACTCTTATTGCATAACTAGTCATGGTGTAACTTTTGATGTAGGCTACCTTATGCTGGTAGTTTACTTTTAGTATGTTTTAGTGTTTTAGTAACATGGCTTTTTAAATGTTGCGTATGGTAGTGCTATTTCTAATCTAAATACTTCCTTCACGAAAGGTTTTTGAAGTGCAACACATTTCTTTATTATGCAGGAAAAGGACAATTTATTTGTTCATGCATAACTGAGTTTAATAGTGATGATTTGTAACAAGCCAGGATGTTTTTCATTTCTTCAAAGCTTGCTCTTGAGCCGAAGCTGCAGCCTGCGAAACATACTGGCTCATGTAAAGGAAAAGGCAAGTGTTACTCTATATTCTTATAACTTTCATCAAATCTCATGATACACCAAAACTAACATTGTGTAAGTCTGTCATTAATGTGGTCACAAATACAGACTTCCAGTAATATTCAAAACAGCTGGATACTGCAGTTTGTCAGTAAATGATACTCAAAAAGACTTAAATAGTGCATGTGTTGGTTGGGACTATTTTCATTGGTGGATTAATACTCATTTTGTTCTTTAGTGTATATTTAGAAAACCAGGACAGTGTGTGGGATTGAATCAAAGGTGCATGCTAATAACGGCACTAACAATGTTTCGCTCCTTAGATATTTTTCAAGGTCTGGAGACGGAAATATTGTTATTAATGTGATTGACAGCATGCAGGAACAATGGAGCTCTAGCACAGAGGAAAGATATAACAGGCTTTGGAAACACACACAATACTTGTCAGTAAGACACATACATTTTTGGTTTGGGTCTTTTCATGGCACATTTTTGGAAAATAACCCCAATATCCCTTAAGCCCTTTACAGTTTACTCCATCAATGAAGTCACTTTTGTGGCCGCTTCTTTCCTTTGAAGACAGAGATTTGTTATTTTGGATTCAAAATAAATGAATGCACTGAACGTCTATTTTCAGCAATAGATTGTAGTATGAAGTCATTTTTGATATTTTTGAATCAGTAGGGGCTTCCTTACAGGGAATCACAGATGTCTAACATGTGGTACAGTTGCGATGTCATCTCTTACCACAGAGTTTCTTTAACCTGTTATTTAATTAAACTCCTGCACCGCTGCCATAAAAACATGCTTGCTGTTAAACCACAGCCGTGCTCCAGTTACTACTAGCTACTGATCCTGGTTTCAACAAAAATTAAGAGCGTGCTGTAGAATTAGCTGGATTAGTTGACCATATTTAAGTCATAAAACTCTGTTTAATATAAAATGAATTGCAGATGTTAGCAGTGATTTCATATGATTAAAAAATTAGACACATAAACAAGAATTAATTTGCAACCTTCTGTCAGTCCACACTTTGGATGTGTTTGTGTGTGTGTGTGTGTGTGTGTATATGTGTGTCAATCCACATTGGTCTCCGTTGTGTCCCATTTTGTGGTGAAGCTACAGCCACGATTTATAAAGTCTGTCCTGACACTCCCACCACTCCCTCTGCCAACCAGAGGGAGGACTGTCACTACCACTTCAGGACTTCACTCTCTTCACTTTCTCCGAGCAGAGTGGCATTCATCATTGCCTCCTAGCAGCTGAAAGAGAAAGGTAAGGCCCTATTATTACTTTTTGTACCATGTGTACTGTTATGTAAAGGGACTCAGCTTAACCCAATCAAAGTGATGTACAGATAACTTATCTCTGTTCCTGTTGTTGCTTTTTACTTTGGTTGTTGTTCCATTTATTTTACAGCTATATAGATAAATACGCATGCATTATTACTGTTTTTAGTAATTTTCCCTAACTTGATGTAACCATGGCATGGGTTTGGTTTGGCCACAAGTGATTGGCCATCGGGACAAAGCTTGTCTTCTACAAGCTAAATATATAGTATAACTGCATACATAAACCTCTTTGATTATGGGTCAGCGAGTAAGCGCAGTCTCTCCCTGTGTGTCTCTTGGCATTTCAAAGTTATGCTGTTAGTTAAGTCTGTAGTCTAAAATAACTTGGTCTTCCATCCTAATTACTGTACAGTATGTTCAACTTCTGAATGAGTTGGAAACAACGGAGTGCTTAAGATAGTCAGAGGATATGGCTATTTTCAGTTTGGGGCATATAGCTTCATCATGCAAAGATCCATTTATTGCTGAATTTTCGAAACTATAGTCTTCAGAAGGAGTCACCAATTATCTGCTATCAAGAGGTTTCCCATGACAGCTGTATTTTGGTTAATGATTATTTTTGCTTTGAATAAGAGTTATTCATGCCATTGGAAAAGCAATACATGTAAACAGAAAAAATAATTAACACAATCTTGTTGTTCTTCAAAGGTACATAACAATTCAATAGCAATAAAATATACACTTTTGCTATTCAAACACAGACGTTCTGCTATGACTAGTGACTTATTGTGGTTAATTGAGGTATACTGTGTCGATACAAAGGACCATATCATTGTTTCTGATAGCCCTATTTGAGACCAGATAACTTTACAACAATAAAATGTTTACCCTAACATATTATTATTTTACTATATCTGTGAGATCACAAAAATACCATTTGAAGAACAATTTGTTGCTTCATTACATTTTCATAACATCGCAAAAGGCTATGTGACCAAAACCCACAGTCAAACAAAGTGGTGGACCTACACGTGGCTATGTTTTTGCTTGATTTAAACCCGCGTGAAAGTTTGGATCCAAATGTAGAGTAAATTCTAACAAAATCTCCAGAAATGAAGACCTGAGCACATTGGTTGTTTACTTTCTACTCAAGTGCCATTTAATCATTGCATAAGATTATGTCAGAACAAGGTAAAATAATGGTCACAATAACTTTTTCCCATCAGCAAAATGTAAACATATTTGAGCTTTTTGGGGCTTTTTATGCACAAATTAGAAAACATAAAAACAGGTTAATGGAATAACACCTAATGTCAACCATTTTCCAAATGTAATTTCTGAATCTTTAAGCGTTTTTATTCATATTTCTCAGTCATTGAGGTCTTTCCTTTTCACTATGGAATAATGCCTAAAATCATCACAGAGAATCTCACATCCACATTTTTTCCTTGTTAAAAATACGTTAAAATGCCTGATTATGCAGCGATAATGAACATGACAAGAACATTCAGGTAATGGATTGTTTTTATGTATGTTTCAAGTCAATGAAAATGTACATTTCCATATCTAAGGAGACCCTATTATAAATATATGTATATTTGTATATGCTGGTGTTAGTATTGCTCTCAGCAGTCTTCTTTTTTTTAATAAACCAACCATAGGCGCTAAGCAAACCCAGCAACATCTGTGTACAAGGAATGTTCTGTGATGCTAAAGACGGCAGGGCTGGTTGATGTGGTTCACTGAACTTCTGGTTTGCCAAATCTAGAGTGAGGTTTGGAAGAATTCATGTTCACTACCCACCTATCCACACTGTGTGTTTGTAATGACATGTGTGCTATAACATGAAAGAGTGAGGCACTGAAGAGAGGATGTATAGATGGATCCACTAAGAGAGGAATACGGATGAGATACTTTTAGAAAGGGTGTAACATTTAAAGCATGCTGTTCACATCCATACATGTTGACTTCTGGTCCCTTCCTCCGCATTCTCAGTTTTCTCTTTTACTGTCACTGATATATCCTTAAACAAACACCTGTACAGAAGGCGGCACGAGAACTTAATAGTGAATATACATTTTCAGGATTTTTGTTTTTATGGTCTTCATTCGGTCATGGAGACTTGGCTGGAATTTGTAATGATAATTATTGAATTCAATATGGAGTATGCTTAGAGCACTCATAGGGCTGACCATTTCAGACCGTTGGCTAGAACAAAATGGTCTGATTATTAGTAAAGTTTTTATCTGGATTAAAAGCAATTATTAACCAGATTTCCAGAAAAGAATATGAGAATTAACACGTGTTTCCATTCAATGCTGTTATGTGGATATTCTCTGTTCAGGTGCCATTAAATTGCAGTAGAAGATGATGCAACTAGATCACATCATTACAATACTAATGAAATAGTACCAGTTGTATTTCAACAATTTCATCAGTGTCTTCCAAAGCAATTACAAATTACAATTATATAAACATGTCTTGATCTGCAATTTATATGGTTAGTTAGGTTTATACACACAATTTACCATGAACAATGTCAAAGTGTTAAATCCAAAGAACTACTTCTGTAGCAGTATTGTTCACACTAGAGATCATAATCATTTTTATGTAAATAAACATCAAACCAAGTTATTTGTATTGAGACTAGTGCCTCTTTTATTTTAAATAACATTGGGTGCACTTCAAATTTAAACCAACAGCCTGGCCTAAGCTAATGAAATGTAAAAGAGAAAGCATTTTCCTATAGTGCGGTTGGTAGAGGTGATTGTATTTCTACTGAGTGGGCACATTAAGCAAATCGTTTTAAGGCCAATTTAATGAAAGAGAACCTGACTTTACACATTTGCATGTACAGTAGTGCCTGCTTGAGATTCCAACACACCTTCCTCACAAGAGACATTTTGAAGGAAAAGCAAGTGTGCACAAAAGTTTTTACTAATCACCAATGATGGCTATGTTCCACTTAGTAAATCAATAAAGTAAACCATGTAAGTGAGCCAGCATTGACCATGGCGTGGGTTGTACACACCATTATACTGGAGGAGTGCAATTTCTTTCCCCTGTATACTGAAAAAATAAAGTGTGCCTTGGACCTTGAAACAGGAAAAAAAGAATACAGCGAATACAACTTTTAAACCTGTGAGGCCTCCATCGTGGCATTACGTCTATTGTGACATATATGTGTTGATTTATTCAAACTAAATAATTTTTATGTTCTCTTTTTTTTACTTTAAGGCTTTAAAAAAGCAAATGATATACCCTTTTTGAAATAGCATATGGCATATTTGACTGACCAGTTAACCATACAAAGTCTCATGTTTCTTGTTGTCCTGAATTGTATCCTACATAGTGGTCAGGACTGAGGAAAGGCTGTGAAATCCACTGTAAACTGTAAATTCTCTAAGCTAAAGTACCCTGTTGGCAGATGGCACTTTTCTTTCTGATTAGACTTCTGACCCGGATGAAGAAGGGTGAGCCAATAAAAATGATAAAGGTGTAAGGTCTCTCACCCTAACAGGTGCGACAAAAGTAATAGGTTCACAGTGTTGTTAACCGAGCATAGTCTGAACAAACCCACAGGCCCTCAGGAGGGGACTTATCAGGCACAGTAAGTGAAAATGTCTGTGGGGGTGAGCCAAGGGCCTTTAACAAGAGAGAGAAAGGAAAAGAAAAGGGCAAGGGAGGCAACAGTGCAACACAACAACAAGGGAAATAGACATTTAGATAGAAACCAAATAGAAGGTAACAGCAGAAGACATTGACAAATGGGCTTGTAGAAAGCAGTGAGCTTTTGGTTTGGCAAACACAACATGTATTCAATAGTAAGAACGTCAGTCTGTTAGCTGGATCAATTTAAAGGGCAAGCTTAATACAATACAATTCAAAGACATTGTCAATGTCACACCCATTTAATCTCTTTTGCAATGACTTATCTCATCTCTGGCTTGGTGAAACTTATTTATGAGTGAATAAAATGTATATTACAGTTAGCTACAGTATTTGTTCACTTTGAATCAAGGGCTATGACAAGGGAGCCTCATTTTACTTTCCCTACATGAAACCCTTGACTATTCAATCATCCAATGGCAAAGAACATGGGATTGTGTTTGTCCCTTGTGGGGCACTTATAGTTTGCCCACTATAAGCCCATGTTTCCCATATGTAATTCATATAGCACTCACATGTGCATGTTGAGTAGGCATTTGGTGAATATGAGTACTTTATTGGTTTAAGATTAATTCTTCACATGTTAGCAGTAATGCAATACATATTAGCTGTACCAGTTACATACATTCTATTACGTTACATAACATTTAAAAAATACACGTTAAAACTGTAGACATGCCTACAGTAGTGAAATGTAGTTTCCTTTTGGAATTTTGGACAGGTCTGGGGATCAAACCACTGACCCTATGTTTGGTAGATGCCCATTTCCCCCCTGAGCCACATCCTCCCTTGTTTTCTACAAGGAGGAAGCTGTAATGAACATATTACTTTCAGTTTTTTTTCCCTTGTATTTTTTTATTACATTGATCATTTTGGTGTCCAAAAACCCTGCAAACTCAATTGACCTCAGAATTGGAAGTACCTTTGTGTAATATGGTTCTGTAATAGGAAGTCAGCCAAGAGGTAATGGAAAGTGAAAGAGAGGTAAGGATCTGGGAGGAGACTTTAAGAAAGGTTGTGGTAGCTGTTCTCTCTCTCTCCTCTGACCGAGTCTTCCCCTGTCTTTAAATCCTCTGCCAGCATACTGCAACCCTCTCTGCCATGTCCATATTTCTGTTTTCCAATCCCAGCATAGTGCTCAGGTTGTTATTTTCTACGACCCAGCCTTGTGGTCGGTGGGCATGTTTGCGCTGCAAAATGAACGAGATCCGCAGAAAACATACTAGACCATATGTTGCATGGCACAACAAGAAAACTCGCAAAAGCATTTTACAGGAAAGAGGAGGAGGATAGAATAAGTAGAGACATGTGGTGATTTCACAAGGCAGTCATATACAGCATGTGCCAACTCAACATTACAACACAGTCTTTTCACTGGACATTATATGGACTTTTTGAAAGAGTCCTTCTAATTTGTAGAAACACATATTTTTCGGACACTTTTGAAAACTAAATGGTTCATCTCAAGGGGTGTATCCTAAATAGAACAGTTCAGGTAACATGTAGTACTACTGTACACACAGTAAACAGTGATAAAAGCTGTGTATGCTTTTACTTAAGTAATCACTCACATCCTTATTATAACAAAGAGTAACTTTACACAAGCATACAACCTTGTTTTAGCTAATTTCACACTTTTATACTTATGTACACTTAAGTTTTTAACAATTATTTGTTAGTGCACTGTGTGAACTGACACTGTTAAGTGCAATTTTTTGTTTTTGAGAACACAAATGCTACAGCTTTGAAGATTTCAACAAAATAATAATTTTCAGCTCGATGTTAAACTACTTTTCCAAGGCCCTTTTTGATCAAATACTTAATGGAACCAAACTGTTTGCATAAACTAGGAAGTATAATATAATGTTTGTCAAATCAGAAACATTCTGCAAACTCTAATAAACTACATAACCACATTAAGATCATGGTTTTAAATGCAGGTAAGTTTTGGGAGTTACTCAAATTGTTCCTGTAATGATTCCTGTGTTGGAAATACAATACAAATTTGAAGCTTCCATACTGGCCTCTAGAGGACAAAATGTGCATTACAAACAGGGATACTACTGTCCATGATCTTTCTACATGTAGAGCCTCATCACTAATGGGGCTAAACGTTATCAGTTTTATCTTAGGTGTGGCATAATGAGTAAGTAAAAATAAAAAGAACTCCTTGGGTAGACAAATATTTTCAATTCAATTTCTGGAATACTTTCAATGCAGTTTGAAAATGCAGTTTGAAAATGTGTGCGTCAATGTGGCACAAGGGCATCCCTGAATGTACTGAATTTATTTGATCAAATTGTGATTCTGTATAGGTGGACATGTTGATGATGGTGGTGCTGTACAAGATGTCAGGGTGTTAGGCTTAAAAATACAGACCCATCACATTTCTTACAATTCTTGCCATTCATTCAAAACATACTGTCAGTTGGAAACATGTGCCTGATGGGAGTGAGAGAAAAGTTCTTAAGGTCATTGAATTCTTTGTTGTTTTCTGCACTAATTAATCCAGGTTGGACTGGACCAAGGTTGACTGCTCTTCTAAGGAGCCATGTTGCTGTGGTCATTATGGAGTGCACTATTGCTACTGACCCCCCTGGAGGCTGCAGAGGAGGATGATGTGCGAGCAGGTAAAGTGCTCATTGTGAAAACAAAAGGAACTAGCAATACTGACCATTTTATTAGTAAGATATATCAAGATAACTGAAACTTAAAGCAGGAGAAGATACTGACCACTAGTCTGAAGTGTGGATTTTCAGTGTATGTGTTTGTATTTGTCTTTGATAGCTGCGCATGTGTGTATTTATGTGTGTAGGCTGCAGCACAGCTGTAAATGACCTTGTCTATATTGTTGATGGCTCGTGGAGTGTTGGCACCTCAGACTTTGAGACGGCCAAGCAGTGGCTTATCAACATCACCAGCCAATTTGATATCAGTTCCCACTACACACAGGTAATATAAACCACATTATATTGTTTGTGCTAAGAAGATATTGCAATTTCCAGTTGTATTTAGTAGCAATCCTTTAATTAAACGTGTAGAGTTTGCACTTTGATATTCCCATTGATATAATCTGAAATGTTACCCTGTCAAATCAAGAACACCACCTTTTTTATGTGTCAACAGCTTTTATAAAAAATATATAATTCCAGCATTTTTTGGCTGATTCCAATAGCTTCACTACTCCTAGATTGGATTTGTTTTATATCTGCTGTAGGTGGCTGTGATCCAGTACAGCGACACTCCTCGTCTGGAGATTTCTCTGGGGATACACCAGGGTGGAGCAGAGCTCATCGAGGCCATACAAGGCATCACCTACCTGGGAGGAAACACACAGGCAGGACAGCATGTTTTCTCTTTACAACTCTAGCACTTTTATTAACATTCAGGTATTATGAAAAGAAAACTATTTCAGACTGTGGGGTACTTATTGCTGGTCATTGCACTGCTACAAAAAAGCCCCCTACAAATATTCATTGGAGAAAGACACACAACTTTGTGAAAAGCAAAAATACAGTATTTTTCTATGCTGCCTCTAGTCAAAAGGAGCAACTGAACATGCTAAAATGCTAACACTTGCACTTCTCTTCGAGGCAGGACTAGATAGTAATTTGGCTACAGTAGGTAGCACGTAGCCTTGTTAGACTGCTGTATATGGTAACTGAGCAGGTTGTGATAAAAACCACTGATGTGAAAAGTAATGGCATGAAATAAAATGTAGCGTTATAAAATGTTAAATTAAGATAACACTTATAACACACATTCAATTAAGTGTTAGCAAGAGAAATGCAATAGTATAATAAAAAAGCACAAAAACAAATTATGAACAAATAAAAGTAAAAAATGTTATAAGAAAAGGCTACCCCTTTCACACCAACGGTGTTTCAGGGCCGGTTCGGTGCTGGTGCTTGAAAAGCACCGGGTTTTCCTGTTCACACCGCAGCGGAGCAGCGTCATAGCTCCGGAATCCGGTTCGTTTCGAGCACCAAAAAGTTGTCCGTCTAGAAGCAAGAACCGCATACGTCACGCTTACGTCGGAGGGGGGCGAGATTAACCTGAGCTAACACTTAAGGCGAGTACGGCAAAATACAAGTTGTAACAAGCAGTAGTGCTGAGCAAAGTGACTAGAACGCAACCACACACTTGTTAAAAAAAACACACTTTATAAAGTCAGGCAACACTAACCAGGCTTCGTGTGATTCTGTTTACTTTGACCATCCGTTCGCTGTTATTGATCATTGTGGAGAGCAGGCAGACGTTTTGTTTGTTATTATAGCAGCTATCGGATGGAATCAATACATGGGCTGCACAGGTTGTCATGTCCGACTATCACAAGTAGAATCATAATGAAAAATACGTCGGTAAAAAGTGCCTGTAGAAAACTGCTTAGCAAGTAGTCAGTTTAGCTTCGGTTGCTATGCTAACATCACCCATGTTATACCAGAGAAACTTTCATAACAGCGTTGTGATGCCAAACAGCGTCAATTCAGACTGACACCAAACAGCGTCAATTCAGACTGACACACATTCACTTAAGGGGAACTGGGGATATGTATCAGCTGCTTGTGTGACAGTCAGACAGTGAATACTTTAGAGCCGTGTGAGCTAACCCGGAGCTAACGGGAGAATACACTCCCGTTGAAGAGCATCCGGCCAGCACTGCAGCGGTCGGTAAATGCCGCTGAAACACATTAATAAACAATGAACCACGGCACTCTGGAGAAAAGTATAAGGTTGGAGAAGTCGTTATTTAATTTAATCTGGCTTCGTATGATTAAAAGCAACGCAGTCCCCGGCCCGTTGTTGTGAGGTGAGCTCCGGCGTTGGGGAGAAACTCAGCGACGTAAACTGTGACGTCATGACGCAGCAGCGGCAGCACCAGTCGGGCTCTGAGCGGTGTGAAAAGAGCCGGCGCTAAACCGAAGAACCGGTTCTGAACCAGAAAAGCTCTAGCACGGAGCTTGAACCGGAGTTGCGTTGGTGTGAAAGGGGCATTATTACTCAACACAATAAATGTGATTAATATAGTATAGATTCTAGAATATTTGTATTTATCTATTATCCAACACTTTGGGTTCTATGCATGACCTGGTTGCTTGGTGTTGACATACAATTGAGGCAACTTACATGCAGAAGAATTACTTAAAATGTAGGCTTCTGTGAAACTCTTTACTTCTTCCAGTATTCCATCCAAAAATACAAAACTAATAAAGTTGAGCAGGCTGGTTTTGGAGAGGCACACTTCGGCCGGTCCAAGTGTACCAACATTCAGTTACTACAGGTGCATCTGCAGCAACATGACCACACAGCAACACCACAAACACAGATTTATAGGGTTCACAATTCCAATTGAGGTTTAAAAAAAGCTCTTGTATGCCTTTATATAATTTAATTTGTACTCTGGTGTATTGCAGCTGTCAATGGCTAGAAACATCATTCCTCATGTCGTTTTTAATTCACTGCACCAGATCCTCACTGTTTTCTGTCTTGCAGACTGGCAGGGCTATCAAGTTTGCTGTGGACCACGTTTTCTCCTCCTCCCAAAGAGCCAGCCAGGTCAAGAACCGCATCGCTGTGGTGGTCACAGATGGCAAATCTCAGGATGACGTGGTAAATGTCACTTTGCCATGCTTGAGTGAAACCAACAGTAAAGTGCCTTTGGGTGGCCCTAAATCATAGTGGCAGAGTTAAGGGGGCTTGAGATGTATCACAGTGTGAAAAAAAGATTGACAGCACCTGCCCCATTCAAATAACCTCAACAAGTAAACACTTTCTGGCACGGTGTATCCACATTGTTTATCATATTATGGTTTTATTTAGGTTCTTCCAGCATTAACTGTCTTTCAAGGGTTAAAATGAAAATCCTGTTTACCACGGAGGGCTCGTTTTCACCAGGTGGCCTGTGTTTCTTCAGGTGGATGCAAGTGTGGAGGCACGAGCAGAGGGCGTTACAGTATTTGCTGTTGGAGTTGGCAGTGAGATCACCACGTCGGAGCTGGTATCCATTGCCAATCGACCATCATCTGCCTATGTCTTGTATGCTGAGGATTACACCACCATTGACCGTATTCGAGACAACATGGAGCAGAGGTTGTGTGAAGGTTGGGATATGTAGTTTATCTCTTTTAATGGCATGTTTATCCAGCATTTGCTCAATTCTCCTGGCTGTCGAGTTGCAAAGTTTGAAGGACATCTGATTTGGGAAGTGTTTTTTCCTATTTTGTGTTCTCATTTCAACTATTTCTTGACCTCAATGTTAGAAACACACATCAGTCATAAAGGTTGATGGTTCTCCTTTAATTTTAATTGAAAAGGAATTGTACTTCTTGAACCAGGGGTGACTGAAAGTTGAGTGATTATGGGACTAAGATGCAAAGGGTTTTTCAAGGGTTGAATACTAATGTTCTTGTGCTCACTATAAAAAAACACAATAGCATGGGTCTCCTCTTTCCTTCCTTGCAATAAAAAAATTGTTAATAAACCTTGTCAAATGTTTTCAATTACCAGCATACAATAAACAAATTAAACTTTAGGTCAACTAGTTTTAATTTCTCAATGAAAATGGAAAGCAGAATGTAATTGCTGACATTATGGCATGTGATAGCCAATAAAAGACAGGTGTACTTTATAATATTAATAGGGCTGCATCAATTTAGTTGTGCCTGTAGCAATGACTGTTTCATTTTTGAAATGCTACCGTGCAGCAAACCCCAGTTCATAAAAGTGGAAATATGTGCCTTAAAATTGCACTTTTCTAATGGCCTAAGGCTGTAATAATAATTTTAACCAAAATTATTTCAACATTTCAGTTGCTTGAAAAATTATTGTCATCAAACTGTTATACTTTTTTTACTCTCTTGTGTCACTGCTGGTTACAAAAACACAAGATGGCTGCAACATAAATTCAACATAGGGAGCTTCACCAATAGCTGACTAGGCTCACTATGTCCTCTTCTTATACAGCATTATTATTACTGTTAAGCTAAGCCTGCACTTGTGTTTTTCCTCCGAACATTGGATACAGTATATTGTTTTGTTGTATGAAATTCAGTAAATTAAGCTACAGTTTTAAATTCAACACCAAAAAATTCATGACATTGTTTTTCTCAGAGAGGAACAAAACAATACACTACCAAATAATGCAGTTGTCCCAAAAACGCTTTTTCTTTCATGTCTATACCTACATAAATCATTTACTAATTTATTTCTAGAGTCTGTTTGTCCAACTCGAATCCCGGTGGCATCTCGGGATGAGAAAGGCTTTGAGCTGCTGCTGGGCATGAACATTCAGAAGAAGGCCAAGAAGATCCCTGGCTCTCTGATTTCTGAGGCAGCCTATTCCCTTACTGCCTCCACAGACATTACTGAGAATACCAGGTACACTGTTGTCTTAAAGTCATGAGGGTCTTAAACATCTGTCACATTTCATTATTTTTTAAATTTAATTTAAACCACTATCATTTCTATTTAATTGTTGGACTTCCTCTTTGCACTAGGGATATTTTCCCAGAAGGCCTCCCTCCATCCTATGTGTTTGTCGCAACCCTGCGTCTAAAGGGGTCTTCCAGCAAGCTGACATTTGACCTTTGGAGGGTGCTGTCTAAGGATAAGGAGATCCAGGCTGCAGTGACACTAAGTGGGAATGACAAAAGTGTTACATTCACCACCACCAGTCGGACAGAAAATTGGCAGAGAATCACCTTTAAAAACGGCTTTCAGGTTGGTATAGGATAGAGTTTCATGCTTTTACCAGATCAAAATGACTTTCGGCTGGGCTTTGACTTCCAAGTACTAACAAATGCTCCTTTTCCAAGATGACTAAGTGTCAAAATGCAATATATCTTTCTGTCAGCTGGTAAATCCGATATAGTTGAAGACAAATGTCTCAACGGTTTGCATGTGTACAAAGCTAAAAAGGCTTTATCAGCCTGGTTATAGCATATAGCATATAGCATAATGTTTATAAATATTATAAAGCCTTATAATTGAAATGACTCGGCCAAATGTAAAAAACAAAATGCATATCTCTAAATTACATATATTTGCTGTACTTTTTCTCAAACAAAACATTTTGTCCATATGTTAGAATACTATGTCTCAGCTAATCTATAACTTTATAAATAACTTAATCAATTGAGGCTTTTTTTGCATTGAGAATCAACTCAGTTAATGCAGTTGCTTAAAAATGCCCTATAAAAATATCTTCACAATAACAAAAATATCATCATTTATATGAATAAGGGGAAAACATAAATGTCATTTACTGGTATTTTCCTGCCCCTGAAAGCACACATTGTGCTATAAGAGTGTACTCTGTCTCTTCCAATCTTGGGTTTCCCTTTATGTTGGTGCCTGTGAATGAATGTGACTGGGATGACTTGTGAAGAGCCAAACTCGCAATTATTTAAGCATCATCCCCTGTTCAGCTCAATACAGCTAAACATGTGAAGATGTAATGTGGTGGAAGCCAACAAGAGGCTCAAAGAAAACATTTCCTACTCTAAACCACGGTCCCCAGTGGAAACTAGTTGGTGGATGTGTAGTTCTTGGAGAACATGTGTCTGCTTCCATGGCAGCTCAATGTAATAGTACATCCTGGTGGGCACGCCAGGTTGTTTTTTCCAAAAGACACCCTCCACCCTTACACACCTAGATTTCAGCATAGAACATTGAATAGGGTTGTACTTCAACTTGTGTTTGCACATGTTTGATTTGATGTGGTTTGATGTGGCTCAAGGTAGAAGCCTGTGATTTCTCTTTTGGAAATTATGGTTGTGGCTAACTCCCAATGAAACAATAGCTGCTTTGTTTCTCTCTACTAGATGGTGAGGACATTTAGGAAACATTGTGATGGAAAAAGAAATACATTTTTAGTCTTAATAACTTCCAAGTCAAAACTATTTGTAGAGCATTTATGGAACTGACCAAATTAGATTAAATGAAACATATACACATACGCCTGCCAACAGAAGGGAAGGCTGAGTGGAAGAAGGTTTGACAAGTTAATAAATGTTTTCACATTGCCTGAAAAAACTCTCAGTTAATGCATGTTCATATTTGAGAAACCCTTTCTAAAAACAACAGTGTTTTTGTATTCATTTTTGTGCCTTCTTTCAGAATCTGTATGACGGAAAGTGGCATCAACTTAAAGTTCTGGTGAGACCAAGCCAGGTCACAAGTTTCCTTGACGATCAACCAATTCAGGAAATTATGCTGGAACCAGTGGAGCCAATTTACATCAATGGAAAGACACAGGTGGCAAAGAGGCGAGGAACAGACATCACTGTGCCTGTGAGTAATAACACCACAACTGAGTCGGAAAATAAAATAAATTATTGAAAAATATTTGACACCAATTTCAGGTGAACCCTTACAAAAATACAGTAGTTTTTAACCCATTGAAAACTATCATAGAAAAGCATACATATGATATTAAGCACATTTAACCCTTGTATGGTGTTCGGGTCTGTGGGACCCGTTTTCATTATTTAGCTAAAGAAAAATGATGTGATAAATTATTTTTTCAAACTCACACTCAATGGCCTTGGCTCATTTTCTGTGAAGAACATATACCAGAACACATTTTCAATGACCACGCACTGTACACCCCCCTACACATACAGGATGTTCGTGTGTGTGTGTGTGTGTGTGTGTGTGTGTGTGTGTGTGTGTGTGTGTGTGTGTGTGTGTGTGTGTGTGTGTGTGTGTGTGTGTGTGTGTGTGTGTGTGTGTGTGTGTGTGTGTGTGTGGTGTGTGTGTGTGTGTGTGTGTGTGTGTGTGTGTGTGTGTGTGTGTGTGTGTGTGTGTGTGTGTGTGTGTGTGTGTGTGTGAGAGTGTGTGTGAGAGAGACTTTTGTGTTTCTGCCCCTACCATTCCAGCACAAGGTTGCAACATTGTTGATAAATTCAAGCACTGACACCTGTCTGCTCTCACATTCCCGCATTATGTCTTGCGGGAACCAATCTTTATTTTTTTCACACTCTATCCCAGCTGCAAATTTGGGGCGGGACACAATAAATAAAGCTTCGCCAGTTTGGGTCCTTATCACAACTGATCAAGATGGCCAAACGATTCTCTGCTCAGAGGGCCTTGCAAATGATTTTGGAAGAGAGAGAACCATTTGATGATGATGTAGAGGAAGAGGAAGATGTTTCAGAATGTGAGGATCCCATTTCTGAGAATTCTGAGTCTGACAGTGACTTTGAAGAAGAGGATGAGATTGAGCATCAGCTAGTTACAAAAAAAGTAGCACTTTAACTCATTAATGTGATCTAACAAATGTAAAAGGGCAAATATTAACCATATATGCTTTTTATATTGCTTGTAATTGGGATGAAGTAAACATCTGTTGAGTATTTTAACATAAACTAGTTTGATTGTGTTGAATTGAAGCCCAAAAAGGCAGCGGGTCCACCAGACCCACGAACACTGGCTGAGTAACAAAAATATTAACACCACACAAGGGTTAAATAAGATGTAACTAAACATTTTATTAAAATATAATTAAATATTCCAGCGTCCCTTCAAACCTTAGAAAGCAATCTTTATCGTGATATTCATTTATACAGGACATACTGTGATATCATCGCTCTTCTTTTAAATAATCAAATATATTTCACTTTCTTCTTTGCTCGCTTTGATCATCTGTGTTCTTCAATGTTAACATAAAAGAGATTGCCATTGTCACCATTGCAACACAAATATGTAATAAAAGGTTATCATACAATATCTGGCTTTAATAGTTGGTTAATCAAATCAATGAACATGTCATTTAATTTACTCTTATATTTATCTTTCAGCGATCACAATTTCATTGTTCAGTCTTCCTATTTTTGGGATCGTGGTACATATTGACTAATTTCATGAATCATCTATTACTTTGTCCCAAACGTTCCTTGCCACATTTCCACTTTTCTTTGTCTTTTTGTCTTTTTATTCAGGTAGAGATTCAGAAGCTGCGTCTGTACTGTGATCCCCATCAGAGTGAAAGAGAAACAGCCTGTGAGATTTACTCTGTGGTAAGACCTAAAAAGTTTATCTCCTCTGGAAAGGTCAAATGTAGGCCACGGGAAAACATGTCTGCATGCATGAGGCCACCAAGATGATAACTAAAATGTGTGTCTCTTTTTTTCACAGGATGATGAAAGGGTAGGTGCATTTTTTATCTTTTTTTTCTGCATACTTTCGAAATACAGTTTGAATGGATACGATTCAAAGTTCATTATATCAAATGTATTAGATTAGCAATGATCAAATCTCCTCTTGGGACTGAAGTTTAATCTATTAGAAGAAAGTCGTCTTATTTAAACAGTAAGAAAACTTGGATGTAAAAATTACGTTTCTATATTCCTAAACCTGACATTGGTTGGTATCCGCTTTATGGTTGGCTTTATTGAGGAATGAGAAAGCTCTGAATTTGTTTTGTATACAAATGAATACAGTTTTTGTGTCTGTCTTTCCTTAGTGTCCTCTGAATCGAACAGCTACAGATGAGGAAGAAGACTGCAACTGTGTAGTTGGGCCAAAAGGGCAGGCGGGCCTACCAGGACGCATGGTAACATTCATAAACGCACACACAGAAGCACTCACACATATACATACGATACGTTGCTGACGTGTTCTATAAGAATCAAAATTCATTGTACTTATAACTTGTATGTTGCTTCTTTAGCAGTTTAAACATCATTGCCTTGAAGCCGCTTCAAGATACATCTCTTAGCATAATGCTACATTGAGTTACTGTATAAACAAAAGTCTATAGGCACAGCTGTATTGAGCTAAATTCTAAACGTAGTGTGGTAACAAAATGATAATAATGATAGTTGGCGGTGCTTATAATTTATAGGTTAACATATTAACCAGGTTTACAATTTCAGTTTAGCATGTTAGCGTGCTAACATTTGCTAATTTGCAGTAAAGACAAAGTTCAAGTGATGCTAACGAGGAAACGCATATGCTTTACAGATATTTGGTCATAGACCAAAGCATTGGGCACATTTGATGGTGCAAACAAAAAAAGTCAGGCAGTTTCCCAAAGTATTATTACAGTACAGTATATTGTGAAAATGTCATGGCAATCTATCCAATGGAATGGAGACATTTCACTCAAAACTCCGAAATGTTGGGACCATCAGAGAAATGATGATATATCGTCCAGAAACCCTGACTGTCATGGCAATGCATCCAAAATATTGTTGAAATATGTTTTGTCTGGACTGAAGTTGTGGACTGACAAACAAACAAACATTGCCAGCCATAGAGACTCATTAGAGACTAATGGCTTGGCCTTTTCTTTATTTCAAAAGAATACAATTATGTGTGTCATGATGCAGTGTTTTAATGTTACAGGGTTTCAGAGGGGAGAAAGGGAGGGAAGGACCACCAGGACCTGATGGCAAGCCTGTAAGTACTCATTATTTTTCCATCACCTTCTGTTTTTTCACCACTTGATAATGTTGTCACCAGTCTCCTTCATTTGCACTGCACATTATAAAATCTTCTTATGCTGTCTTTGTCACCAGGGTAAAGATGGGACACATGGGGATCTTGGTCCTTCTGGATTTACAGGGATGAAGGTAAGAAAACACTTTAAAATCGTCACATGCAAGTTCGCTTTTCCACGTGGATCTTACCAAACTTCTATTACTCCAAATAGAGGAATACATTTACATCAATGAAATTAAAGTCATGTCCACTCCAGTATTGACTGATTTTCATCTTGCTCAGTTTCCAAACTTCAGGTTCATGATGATTTCCATTTCTATGGTCCTGTATGAAAACAACTATATTCAGGAAAATATGTACATGTTTTCAATAAATGCTGTCTTTTTTCCCTTCAAATGACAGTACACAGACAGCTCTGCATAGCGAGAAAAAGTCACATTGCAGTTTAATCATGGTATCACAGTTTTCAATAACATAGAACTTTATAACTTATACGATGATCTGATGACGTCCATATATTTTAACTTTATTGACTCTATTACCAATAAGGTGTCTGATAGTGTTCCTATTCTTTGGAATTTCTTGGACCTGGAGTTAAAACAAAACATACACAACACACCCTCAGTGGGTTGGTAATTTGAAATATCTACTCATCACAACAAGATCTTTTGGTTGTGACCTTTTCGAACTTTATGATTTGTACGTCCTCACTAAACTTTTGCTGACATTTTTGCTCTACATGCTCTTACCTATGTTCACTTTGCTTGGCAGGGTGAAGTTGGCCCCGCAGGACTAAGTGGGGACCCTGGTCTAAAAGGTCTCAAAGTAAGTATTTAAAAAAGCAGTTGTATCAAAGTGATTGCTTTTTCATATCTCCTTGTCAGTACTCACAAAACGTGATTCTACCCAGGGAGACAGAGGTGAACCAGGCTTATCAGGAGAAACCGGACCTCCAGGAACCAAGGTCAGACTCTTCATACAACCATGGTTAAAACAAAAGTTAAGCCGATATTGAACACCTTACTTTATAAACCACAACAAAAAAAAATCAGACTGACACCTTTTGCTGTAGCGCAAGGCACAATTTCGATTTGAGGGAGCAGGCGTCTCAGGTTATCCCTGGTTGGCCACAAATCACAATTCTAAAAACATGTGTGAATATGAACCATATGCTACGATTTAACATGCCAATGACAGGGGCAGTACTCATTTACACAAGGACATAAGAAAGTTGACTTATTATATATTTGTTTAATGTTAAGCATTGCCATAGTGGATGTCCTTGCTCAGATTGATTCTAACAATTGATATTATTCTATGTTTGTATTGCTGAGTTTTGGCATCCTTGGTGATTAAAGGGAAAAAATAAATATACAAAACAACATATTGGATATTAAATTGAACTTATTAAATGTAACAACAAATATTAGCAGATGTATTTGTGTACAGGGTCTTCCTGCTGACAAAGGTGAGCTGGGACCTCCAGGAGAAGCTGGACCAATGGTAAGATCCAATTATATTTACCATTGTCTACAATATGCATTGAACAAGCATTACTGACAGTTAAAGGATCTTAAATCCTGAAATTGGAGGTGTCAAATCATGATAATAAAAATGATGCCAGATGAAACAACATCAAGCCAGATGCAGAGTTACTAATCCATAAGCATGTATGTTTGTGTTGGGGATTTCTTCTTCCTGTCAGAGTGCACTGTTGGAAGTTAGACAGATTATTACTGTGATAGTGTTGAATTTGGCTGCCTCTGCTCTACTTTGCCTCTCAGAGTGTGTTTTATTGCCCAAACAGGGGGAGCCAGGACTACCAGGTAGCGGAGGACTGGTTGGAACAACAGGACCAAAGGTCAGTGCAGACTGTAGCTTTTAGAGACCCTGGGGGAGACACACACACACACACACACACACACACACACACACACACACACACACACACACACACACACACACACACACACACACACACACACACACACACACACACACACACACACACACACACACACACACACACTAAATACAGGTCTCATAATGTGTGTGCAGACAGGATACTTACTGTACTGACTCTGATGCCGCTTTAACAGCCTAAACTCTTTTGGGAAAACCTTCAACGTGAAGTTTGAAGCTGGCGTCCAGTATTCGTTCCCATTTAGCCTCAAGAGTATGTGAAGTCCACAATTAATTTGGGTGATAAGGCCTGGCTGACAAAGCTAGAAGGACACATTTCTCAAAATATGTTCAGAGAGAAAGTACATTTGATTTCTACTGAACAATTTTACTGCTGAATTTTTCTGTGTGGGTTTAATCGCTTGAACGTAGTACGGTACACATGTTAGCTGTAGGACTGCACTGACTGTGTGTTTATGACAATTGGCTGTTAGTGTGCTTGTGAAGCAGCTCAAACAGTGACTGATCTCAGAGCTCATCAGTTACTCTTCTCCTTTTCCCTCTTATCTCTTTATAATTATAAAGTAGGCAATGCCCTAGTGGGCAATTTTCACTTTTTCTATTCATTCAACCACCTATATATTTGCCTGAGATGACGTCACTCAAATAATTACATTCAGATCAAGTTCAAGCAAATAAACTTTAAAGCTTGTCTGATCCATATTTACTACACAGTCATAAGAGTCAGCAAGCACTATACCAGATCCAGTGAACTGGCTTGCCTTAAAAGATGCAGTCTTTTTAGGGTATATATTTATAACTTAACTGTTCTGTCATGTGACTTTTCTGCATTAATCTAAATGTGCTACCTCAAGACAATTAAACAATGAAAGGCCTGGATGCAGTAACTTCATTGCCTCATTGTGTTACTATAATGCTGTGTGGCCTTAAATATTTTTCTGTAGCCACAAAACGGGCTCTTTAAGCCATGGTGGTGCCACATTAAGAGTGCAGACCTAATCCAACTTTTTAAATAAAATGATTTGCGATTGCGTGCTATCCTACACACGAGTCAGTTCATGTCATTTATTTTATATGGAGATTAATTTATGAGCAAAAGTAGCCTACTTTTTAATAACAAACACAATACACATGTATGCCTTGATAATGTCCTAGATTTTTTGTGACTCAATAAATCGTAAACATTTCCGGGGATATTGGAATCTCCCAGGACACGTAAAATAGCACCAATTTCTTCCTAACAGAAACCCAGGCTTGCGGTCTAGACAGAGGATTACATGCATCAATGTTAAGTCATACAGTCAAATTAAAAAACGCTTTCCACTTCTGGCAGTTAATTAAATTAACGCTACTGCTGCTGGAGTGCAGCCCACATTCTTATTGTATATGGGATGTCCCCTTGTGGTAACTTGAAAAGAACAAGTAGCTGAATGAAAGAGCACATGCACACATCTGCGAACATGTGAGCACGCCCACCAGCTCCAAGTGTGGGGTGCTATTTTGAGTCTGCTCCGAACTCCTTTGAGTGTTCTAGCAGTTTGCCTTGCAGCTATCCTGCTCAGTAATTTGGGACTCTTATGTTATCATAATAAACTACTTTCCCCGAGAATCTGGAAGTGCTCTGCACCAATTGGAGGGTGGTGGTATACAGAGAGCTGAACGGTACACAGTTGGTGCCCATGTGTGGATGTCTGGGGGTTGGGGTGTGTGGTAAATGTGTTTAGGAAAAATAGTAAACTGTTAACTGTGGAGTTACCTTTGAAGTACACAAACTTCATCCAACTGCTGACCAAACCTTAACAAGTTCGTTCCAACCGATCCTCATTTCCTCAAAACATTTTAGGAAAACATTTATGGTGACCATATTGTTTCCTTTCAGTCAACATATATACAAAACCTTGTTTTAGATAGATCTGCAGAATGTTCTATACTGTATGTGTGATGGACTTTTTTTGGACTCACAATAATACAACAGCTAAAACTCCTTGCCTGACGTAAGGGAAATATGTTTTTCATTAATCAAAGTCAATTGATTTCAATACTAAACCAGGACATCTACCTTTACACCCTTACTAATTCCTGCTCAAAATGAACATCATAATACTTACTACTTTAATACCTGAGGGAAGAACTCTCCCTCCCAGGATATTTAAAAAGACAGTATAGACGGCGGCGTAGAAGAGATGGTAGTCAAAGCTCACCAGCCCTGAGCAATTACATTCATGGCCCTCTCAATCCCTGCTAATGTTGTTAATCTCCTGAAATTATGGTGCTCTCTAGCTGCCAAATTCTCCACTGTGTTCGCCAGCTAGTCTCTATCTGTTTTCTGCTTGGCAGTTGGGTGTACCTACAGCTTTAGCATATTTATATATTACTGCTAAGAACAGTACTGAAGAGAACAATAAGATTGAACTAAAACAATACATTTTTGGGCTGTAAAACCAAAACAATGAGCTGAAAGATGCTTATACAATCTAGATAGCTGTAAGATGCTATTGGTCTCTGTGACAAATAAATTGATACTTTCTTAGTAGAACAAATATAGATTAGTGGGGCTTTAAACTCTTCAAAAAGAAGAACCATGACACTGTACAATTAAATGTTTTATCTCCCCAGGTTTTACCATTAGACCTTTAGGTGTTGTGCTAGTATTTACACAATACTATAAAGTATTAGCTCTCAGACTGAAAATAAGTATGTATAAGTCTGTGGTTTACGTTTAACCACCAACAATTTGGTTTAGTGTTAACATCTTGTTTGGGATCTTGAGTGTTTCTCGATCATTGATGCAATAACATCTTCTTATATCAATGCTTTCTGTTAAGATTGAATATACAAGACTTACATTATACTTACATTAGACTACATTAGACGTGCCAGATGGTTAACTTATCACACATTCCTGGAACAATCTATTGTTAAGCTGCCCTTGGTTGCATCACAGATGCCACAATACCAACAAACAGACAGAATTCCCCCCTGAATCGTCACGGAACATTGAACATCTTAATGATTAACTGGAAACAGCCAGCTTTTTACCAAACACAACAACTGTTGCTGTAAGGAGGTCTAATTGCTTGTTGCAGTTTAAAGGTCACAGTTCAAAAGCAGATTTAGCCTGCATTGGACTTAGACTGAAGGTTTTTATCCGTGCAATTAAGTGTCTAAATGCCAGAGTTAAGAGATTGCTGTGTTTATGTGTCCTAGTGTGTTTTTATAGACACCAATTTAGTTTTAGATTCACAGCAGGCACGTCATACTATGTTGGATAACACATTTTAATCAATGGATGTTTATACTCATGTTTATACTATGTCATGCTTTTTTCTTTCATGACATATTGCAAATCATGTTACTTGAGATGTTTCTAATTAATCATTTTTTCCCTTCTTTGACCAAACTGGTCGGGCTTGGATCCCTAAAGCAAATAAGAAGTATTTTGGGTTCACATTTTCTCTATTTGTTGAGGACTGACAAGGACATTTACTTTGGAGCACTCTGAATATAAGTACACCACAGGTGAGCTGAGAGCCTCACATTTCAGTTATAGCACAGAAAATCATTGAGCTAAGTAGTTACATCTTTTTGATGTCACAGTGAGAAGTATTTTAGGCTTGATCAAAGAGTGTGGCCCTTTGATCGAAAATACTCCAAATGTATCTCACTGTGACCTGAACAATTAGCTACTTCAACAGCATTGTTTGTGAGTGACTATTTGTCAGGTTGTTCTGTTGTCTGGCTCGGATCTGGCTTTACATGGATATGTCAGTATTGACTATGTAACATCTCAGAAAAAGTCAATTGAGGAGTGTTTTGTCTCTGTTATAATTGCCTAGTACAATGATTACTTGTTCTACAATTTGGTGAATGTAATGTCATTCTTTATTGCAACTAGAGGTGGAAGTTCAATTAAAAGTAGCACTATCACAGTGTAAAAATACTCAGATACAAGTAAAAGTCCTTCATTCAAAATTGTTCTTGAGTAAAAGTACAAAATTATTAGCATCAAAATGCACTTTTAAGTGCCAAAAGTAGAAGTACTCATTATGAAGAATGGCCCATGTAAGCAACATATATTTTAAATGAATGTTTTAAAATTATTGAAGCATTTATGTGTTCATCACTTCAATGCAATTGGTAAAGGTGGTGTTTATGACTTAACTGTATATGCTACTGGGTAGCTTAACCAATCACATTTCAATCTGTATTTGTTGATTTATATTTTGTATTTATAACTTAAATCTTCAAAGTAACTAGTAACTCAACACATAAAATAAATGTAGTTTAGTAAAAAGTGGAACATTTGCAGACAAAAGAAAAGTGTAAAGTAGCATGTCGTAAAGATACCCAAGTAAAGTACATGTAACAATTTTAACTTAAGTACAGTAGGCCTACTTTAGATGTACTTAATTACTTTCCAACACAGATTACAACTAATATTTTAAAGAAATGATCTAGTTTTCATAAATTCAGGGACCTCGGAGAGGCTTTCTCTTATAAATATGAATCCAAAATAACTAAATACTATCAGGGCCATAACCAAGATTTTTATGGATTTTGAGATTCAAGTCCTCTAAAAGAAAAAGAGACTCTGTACACTATTTCCTAATCTACAACCTGTAATTTCATGTCAGGAATTTTGGGAACATCAGGGAACTCTGATTTTCTTTTCCGTTAAAAGTCCTCCTATGACGATGTATGTAACCAATGAGTCAGGGCTACAGAGTATCATTGAGGTCTGCTCTTAGTATTTTTTCTGGGAAGTTGTGGATTTTAATGACTTGAAGAGACGTTTACATTACACCACACTTTGTTGATTTTCTTAAGGTTTATTCTTGGAAACATTTAGACCACCATGCACCATGAGAGGAACATATGTGTAGTACATAACTTGAAAATAATGTGATTTGATTAATCAGAGATGTTGGTGTTTCGAAT